CAATTACCCGCTGAAAAGGTGTTTAATAAATAAATCCAGAACAATTGGGGTGATCATAGTATAAAAATGGGGTAAAAAATAGGGTGAAAAAAACACTTAAGGGTCCAAATTATTCAGAAAATATAGTGCCCAAAAATTGAATGTTCCTAATCAGGGGGAGGTAGTTTGTTAGATGGATCCCCAGCCCGTGAACCGCAGTACGGAATTCCCCGGTGTCCCACGTTCGAAAATCTCGTAAAAGGCTTAACATTAATCTCGCCCTGTGAAAAAAATAACTTTTTTTAAAAAATGGAAGTTTTTAAATTATCCATGGTTAGTAGAAAAATATTAAGGATATTTGGGAAAATTTTTTTGGGGGAAACCTGATGTTTCCCCTACAATGCGTTACTGTTGAATGCAGGTTTTGTATTGCCATAAAAAACTGTATATCATATTCTAATTGTTTTGTACAAAAATCCTACTTGGGGCCCTTTCTCTTTGGGCCAATTACATAAAACCTGATTTTTTATCGTTCCTTTTTGGAAATTTGTAAGTAAGTGAATTTTATTTTAATATGGGTGTCAAATATTAAAAGTTTACATTTTGCTATTTTTGAAAAAATTTTAAAATTTATCGCACTTTATTTTAGGTAACAAGTTCTTAAAATTTCTTTATACCCTTATTTTAAAAATTATAAAATTTGTTTGCCCTTGTAAAGAAGTATGGAAGATTTTTCCCTTAAAAACCCTTTTGGGGGACGGTTTTTTAGAAAAACAAAAAACCCAAAATTTTTTTGGGTAATTAAAAATTATTTGTAAAAAAATCTATCTAAAAAAATTTTAAAAGTCCCATCGAAAAATTGAATTTTACGGGAACATTGTAATGGAGTTTTTAAGTTCTTGGGAAAAAAAATAACTGCATTTTTTTTATCCCCCATCAATTTTAAAAAGGGGCTTAATTAATATACACCAACAGTTGTCAAGTAAAAAGAAAATTTTTTTCCCAGAATCTTTTTTAATTTTAGGAAAAATTTAAATTTATTATAGAGTATTTGTTTTTGGAAAAAAATTTTTTATATTTAAAAGGGAAAAATTATTGAAAAATTTTATCACCCTTAAAACTCAAAAAAAATATCCCGCTAATTTTAAAAACCCCCGAAAAATTTCAAAGTTGCAGTCGGAAAAAAAATATTCTCAGTATTTAAGGAAATCAGTTGCACCTTAGAACTCTGTTGAATGTAGATATTTAGCAATTATGGGGATTTCTCGATTTTTACACCAAAAATTGTTTCTCACCTTTTTACGCATTTTTTTTATCTTTTTAAATTAACAAAGGTAAAAGTTTTTATCATCATAGTTGCCTGTGGGGAAGGGGGGCGCACATTTTTAAACTTAACACCGCATTTATTCACCGCGGAGGAACTTTAACCAAAGGGAATAGGTTCTTTTGATAATTTTTTTAAAGGGGTTTTTTGTGAGAACTGTTTTTTGGAGTTTTTTTTAATAACTGTCACGGTTTTCCTGGAAAGGGCTACAAAATTTATAGGAAATTTTATGTACCGAGAAAAAGTGGGGTTCATGTCTGAAAATCCCTAGAAAAATTTTTGATGATTAGCTGGGCTTACATTACTTTTGTATGTGCCGGAAAACTTTTTTAGTCCATTATAAATCCCCAACTTGCTTAAAACTGATTTTTGAGAAAAAAGACCCAAAATTATTTGGCTCTTTGGGACACAGACGACCCAAATTTTTTTAAAAGCTGCAAACAAAAGCCCCTACTTACATTTTATGTCGTTTTTTAACCCTGAAAGTCCAGAGTTCTTATTAATTTTGTTCTTGCCGTTTTTTTTTCTTTGGCAAATTTACCCCACTTTTTCCCGTTTTCTTTATTCAAAAAGGGTTTTAAACGAAAATCATTATAAAAAAGTAAAAATTTTGTTGATTTGGAGCGGTTTTTTTTTCAAGAGAAATTTTTCAAATTTAAAAGTTATAAAAACTTCTATTGACATTTTTTAAAACCCAACAAATTGAACTTAATTTTTTTCTGTGTATACGTTCTTTCAATAGTTTTAAAAAAGGGACTCAAATCTTTAAAAGAAGATGCCCTTTGTTTTGCCCAATATCTTTTTCCACAGAATTTTCTACTTCTTTTATGAAAAAATTTGATATCAATATATTTTTTTAGAAATAAAAATACCCGTGAAAACCTGAAGAGGAACCCCACCTCATTAAATCTAGATTCAAAGTAGTTTTTTACTATTTCAAATATCTTTTTGAAACCATTCCCATTTTAAAAAGGGTTAGATATACTTGAAGACATCATGCTTGAGTTTTTGACATAGGTATTTTTTGTATGTCCAGTTTTTACATCAAGCCTTTTTCATTTCACGAAGCTGTTTAAGAAAAAAAAATTATAAAAAAAAAGATAATAAAAAAATTTAAATTTAAAAAAACACAAAACGAGGGCAAGAAAAAAATATTTTTTGAAGTGAAATTTTTCCCCCAAACCAAAATTATAGGGAAATGAAAAGGGCTTTTCCACGTTTTCAATGGTTTTACACACTTTTGATTTAATAAAAGACCCAAATTTACGTGCCGTACTAAGCACAAAAAACCACGGGCCCAGTATCAAAATTTATCATAAGCCCTCGGGGAAACATATTTGAGTTATAAGAAAAAACCCCAAATTTGACTGCTTTTAAAAAATGGGGAAATTAAATCTATTACCCCTTGGGGTCTCCCTTTTTCCCAATTTTTCTTTTAAAATTTAAAAGTTTTTTTAGGTTTTAAAAAAACGAAGTGGACCCAAAAATAAAAAAGGGCCCAATATTACAATATGTCCTTAACCCTTTAATTTGGAAAAAATTTAAAAATAAAATTTGCAAGCGAGAAAAAAATAGAAATATAAGTCCCCTTTACCAATAATTCAGTTTTCAAGTATTTTTAAATCAAGGCACAAAAAATTGCGTTTTTATAAAAAATTATGTCATACGTTTGGGTAAACCAAAATTGACAATGTAAACCCCAATGAGTGTTGCCCTTTCAATTTTTCACGTAGATAATTAGATAAAGCCTAATTTTGGTTTATATTATCTTTAACTGCGTTTTAAAATTTGGATCGGTCACAATGTCTACTGTGTATATATATATACATGTATATATCGAGTGGAGAAGTCTATATCATCCATACGGTTGAATATTGTCGCCGCCCGCTCCCCCGTGGGTCCCAGCTATTTTCCTAGATATTACTGATTGTTTCAATATAATAATTGATTTTATTATTTATATGCAGTAAATTAATATACATTGTTATTAAGTAGAGCGGCGTTCCCGTGGATATAAATTATGCTTTATATTGAATATTACTTTTTTTCATATCAAATGGAACTACAATGGTTTAATACTGCAAATTGTCTATAAAACAATATTTATTATTGAGAAATTTGAGAAAAAAAAAGCACATATAGAAAAAGAATAGAAAAGAAGCATTATTATTTGTCTAGAATGGCGTTTATAAATTATTCTCATTAACTATATTGTTATATAGAAACAATTAAAGGAGCATTCAATTAACATATCTCGTTAATTAAAAGTGTGTTTTTTAGGAAAGGAATATTTAAGAAAAGAGCATTTCAAACATTTACACCGTTTTTCGTTTTTTCCTAAATTTCTTGATTACTTTTATTTTTTTCTTTTTTTTCACTCGTTGCGCGTGCAATAGAGAGGATGGAATGAACACAATTATACCTCGAGTCAATAGGAAAAAACCACACTGAAGCATGTCATTGGGAAAATATTTCTCTCACAATTTCACCGTCTAACATATTGTTTAACAGTTAACTCGCATGGCCATTAGAATGGGAAGCCCATGCTGCTTTACGATATAATATATAAAACTTCAAAAAAAAAATGATGTAGGGAATCTGATAAGACTTAATCGTTAAACCACCATCAGAGATATCAAAGTATTAAACAATTTGTAAGAATCTTATAAAACATAAATCTTGAGGTTTAAAAATCTTTGATCACAATAACAAATTTATGTTCAATATCATTTGCCGGCCAACAAAAGTGTCCATTATAATTGTAGACAAAAATGTGTCCACTTAAGCTTTTAAGTCCATCTAGTGATATTGTCTTGGCGATGCCCACAGGAACTTTCATTGAAGAAAGTTTTTTTTCTTAAAACGAAAATCTGGAGAAAGGGGGAGGTGGCCTAGAAGTTAAGTGTCTGTCTCTCAAAACCCAGGGATCATTGGTTTCGAGCCCTACGCTCTGTCACGACCATAGATCGTCACGCAATCAAAACATGTCAAACCGGCTGTCAGTATGTTTATAATACATTAACACCAATAGTATTTCAAAATGATAATATATGTCATATGTGCGGTTTTTAAGGATTCGGAATGGTCCGTCCCTCGGGGACCCCTTCCCCATAGGGACGGTATTCTAATCCAAACCGCAAACATATGTCAGATATTTTTCTTGACATATTTACGATATTTCCATCATATTTTAAACTCTTTATCTTAATAAAAGCAATTTTCCATGGGAACTTTACATGTATGTATTACACCCTTTAACTTTTTCTTACAACGTTCGCTAAGAAATTACAGCTTTATTCCTAACGGCGAAATTACGTCATCCTAAGCATAAGCATGCGGTTGTATAGCACGCGACTCATCTGGCACCCACCCGCAGCCACATGCCAAGATGAAATTTTCCGGCAAGTGCAAAACTTACGGAACACCCAGTCTGATAGCAAAAACCTGACCACCAGTGTATATATTCAATTTTATATAATTATTTTCGGTGCGCAATTGTATATACATGTTTGGGAAATCTCGTTACTAATGGCAAAGATTAATAATTTTAAACAGGGTTTACGGCTGCATGTCTCAAACAACAAATTTACATGATTTTATCTGTACGGTTCCAGTTTTTTTCGCCTTTTTTTGTTTTACTTGAAATACGATTTGTGTGTGACCAATATTTTCTTTTGCCCCAATTTGAAATTTATCTTTTAAAACGGAATTTTAAAACCGATAATAAAAATCATGTTATTATAAACATTAAAAAATGGGATTTTTCGTCTGCTTGATTTTTGTATTAAAATGTGTTACAGTGTCCGGTAAGTTGAATTTAATTAAAATGTATGATAATGGTGATAATTATGATGATGGTGATTTTTCGCGACAAAATTAACAGGTATTTCGGCAAATGTATTATGATATTTAATGTTACATGTATAACAAACTTCAATAATTGCACGATACATACGAACTTCTTATTTATCTTTTCATTTCAATTTAATATTTATTAGTGACGGTACATACATGAGATAATAGAGCTTGAATGACACAAATATCTAGAGGCGCTATATTATTTCAGCAAGTTATATAACGAATTTATAATAAGGCATTTATTAATTTCTTTTTTTTTCTTTTTTGAAGAAAAACATTTTAGCCGAGAAATTTGCCATTAAGGATCAAAACCCAAATGTATTTGTATGCACTTAGGGAACGGCCCACGATGAAAAAATACATTATTTGTGCGCGCTTTGGTTTTTCATGGTACATATCAATTTCATTTGAAAAATTTCAGGTTATTTGCACTTTTATGATTAATTTTATAAGTTTTTATATAAATTCAGGAATGCATTAAAGAGGACATCCAATCACAACATAACATGCAGTTTTTGTTTAGTTTTAAAACATTATTCTTAAGAATCAATTTTATTTTATAGTGATGTATATTCGCCGAGCTAGCTTACGGAACGTAGGTGCCCGTTCGTGCCTGAAATAATGCACGGAAGGGCACCTGAGGTTTTCCTCCACACCAGTAAAGCTGGAACGTCGCGATATGACCTATACTGGGTCGATTTGACGTGAAACCAAAATCAAACAAACAAAATATTCGCCGGGGTATTGTAACTTTTAATGACATATAACGAATATATGTAAGAAACATGTATATATATATGCCAGAAACCTAAAGAAAAATATTTCAACAAATAAATGTCTGACAATATACATTATATGTATCATTTGTAAATAAGAAAAATGATGAACCCTAATTTTTTCACTTTTCCCCTCCCCATCCTGTTTCAATGCAGATTTTGCTCCCGTATAACTGTTTGTTTTTACAAATGAATTATATACAAATCTTCCGTTATAGATGGCAGCTCCATCAACAACAATCCTGGATCTGTCAGTATACATGAGAATTATGATGGGACACATAACTTGTGGAGCATCTCGGCCACTTGTTATGTACGATACACTACATCATACACGTGTTACACCAGACGATATTATAGCTGTGGTGACGATAACCATTGTTCTTATAACGCGGCAAAAACGTGTTATAAGCATGCATACACAAATGTTGCGTGTAACCAGTTCCAAATAAGTTCAGACTCTTCAGGAAACTTTCAGATGAGTGGTAATACGAATTATTTATAACTTGTTTTATAATGGTTTTTAATGCTTTCATACTAAATCCTGGGTTTATCAGTGTGTGACTACAAACTTAAGTTGACAATGAAATTATACTTACATAATTTCAAAGTGAAATTATCAAATATAAAATTACTGTTTCCGTTCTATGTTTGAATAAAAAAAACTCTATTAAAAACATTATTTATATAAAATGTTATATAATGTTGTTTTTTTTTTGTTTTTTTTTTTAATGTTAGCTTATGAAATAATGGATATTGTCAATTTGTGAACTTAAAGCTTTTCATAAGGTTTAGACGCTTAGTGCATTGTGCATTCGTGACAAAGTGCTTTTCAAAATGTTTTGATTTAGTTTTAATCATTTGAGAGACCTGAGTTATTCATTGTACGAGTATTTCAGTTTATCAGCTCACCTGACCATATATTGCTTATGAACTAATCTTGCACTTCTATTGTCAATAAATCTTGATTCATGTGCTGCCTTGTCAACACGAGAACATTTTTGTTTAAACTTGTATCAAAATAATTCTATATTTCTATTTAAACTAGCATAATCGTGCATTGCAGAATTTTTGGCACAGACAAACACAATTTGCCATAACTGCACGATAACAATATCATATTTTAGTTGGTTATACTATGCACTATTTTCTTCATGCATGTCAGAGTTGCGGTGGTCGTTCGCATATAATACTCAACTTTTCCTTAGCACAAACTGTTTTTTTGTGTGAATATCCCTTCGGCAAAGCTTTGTTAACCATCGTCCAATTTTTTAAATGTCTATTTCATGTTTAATCAATGATAGAGAAATTCAACGTTTCTTTTACTGATTTTGCATTAGTTATGTGCAAAAAAGAGAAGACGTTCAATATCAAAGGCTTTTGGACACGCAGCTTGCTTTCAAAATGTTTTAAACCTTGTTTAGTGTAGACGTGGTAGCGCTAGTGTGACACATTGCTTATATTAAGATAATTGCTTGGTAACACTTTCTCATGCGCCCTATAAGGTTTCTGACAGTTCTAGTGGGAATGGCGCCCCATTCTTGCATTTACATGACCTCAAGCTTCTGGATCCGTCTATATTGTACCTTAATTTGAGATTATTCCACATGTCATCAATTTGATTTACGCCGGGTTATCGGACTGGATAGTCAAGCCGCTCAATTTTTTCCCTCTGCAGGTAGTCATAGAATAACCGGGTTCTGTGGGGACGCGCATTATCGTCCAATGAAATTAAGCGTTCACCCAATGCCCGGCATACAGCATAACCTGATATCTTACATCTCATCAATGTACCACTTACCAGTCAACTTACAACTGATTAGAACAAGCTAGTCCGTCTGTCTAAGCTGATGCCTCCCCACACCATAACTGACCCACCCTCGTAGGTAGTGGTCTTGCAATATTTCCGACCTGAGACCTTTTGCCAAGGACATATCCAAATTATCGCATGTTTGTCAGTAAAGTCTGGGCAAAATCTAGACCAATCAGTGTGAACATGTTTACAATTTTGTCTGGTTCAATGAACATGTACGCGTTTATAAATCATTAAAAAGTACTTTAGCATCTACTTGTAGCAAAAACGCGTTATAATAATAATAATAATAATAATAATAATAATAATAATACCTTTATTTAAAGAAGGTAATATATGAAGATTTTCCATCGTAAACATGAAATATCTTTGGAAAATGATATTTGGTCGAGGTAAAACTTGTTAACATAATAGTATGTCAATGTTTGCATAACAATGACATGAACATTTCTTGTAGATGAGAAGAAAAAACATTTTGTAAACATAACAATTAAATTAAAAGCATATTGATATCGTTGTCCCTTCAAAGAAGGACAACTTCTATTTCACAGAATTTGCTTGTATTTAGGTTCGCATTCTATTTGTCTTAATGTTTGACTTTATAAATTTTGTAATAGTATGTCATATTGGCTGTGCAAACAGAAATAAAAGGATACTGGAAAATATAAAATCAACAAACTACTGCAAAACGTTTGATCTTTTAATTCAGTGCAAACAGCTGTGATAAAAATATTAACACGGTATAAACTTTATTAACCAGCCTTAGTTTCTTTCACAAACAAAAAACAAGTGTGATAACTTGAGATAGACCCAAAAGTGGTTCATAACCCTACCACAACATTTATTGTTTGAAAGTTCGGGGTTCTGAAGCCAAATTTAGATTCCACATACAAATAGAACAATCTATTTTATACTCAATAATTTTGTTTCAGTTCTTTTTTTCTCTCAACGCAAATTGTTTATTTTTTTTTTTACACTTAATGTCAGTTTTACTCACTTTGTAAATTGTTTATTTATTAATACTGAATGTCATTTAAAAGAAGTTCATGTGTACCTAAACATTTTAAGTTAAATCAAAACGATATTTAGAAAAGAAGTTTATAAATGAAAACGTTTTATTGGTATGGTACTGGAAATGCAATACGTACAAAGATAAATACTAAAAAACATTGAAAATCCGAAAAAATCGTAAGTATTCATTTTCATGTAAACATACCCTTTAACAATTACAGAATATTCAATGGGGTTATCCATCTTAACAAATGGAACACTGTAAGATGCATGTGTGCGTAAATGAACCTCTGGTGGGTGAGTTGGTTATTGAATTCAATTTCAAACCCGAATATCTGTGCACTCGGTAGGCAATTATGTGTACCATCTTATTTCCTACAAAACTTCTACAAATGAAAAACTAAAAACACTCGAATGCAATATGCGAGAACGCTTGTATAGAACTACAAAGTATAGTAGTGACAAAAAATAATTCAAATTCAATGCCAAATATTCGGACTAACAAACAATAAATTATCAAATATTACAGATTTAAAGCCTGAGTTACAAACATACGTTTCTCTAAAGAATCCTTTATATAACCATCTTTGGCTGAATCGGTTTTCCACCGGCCGTGCCTTTTCAGACAACGTTCAGACACACCGGATGCATTAGCAACAGTGCTGGCCCCACTGGCTCTTAAAAAATGTGTACCTAAATTACTATTAGGTGCAATTAATCTCAATTTGGACTTAATACATTCTCTTGTTCTAGTATAACTTAATTTCTTATTCTTATTAATGAGAGATGGTCTTATTTTTTGACCTGAATGCTGGTTTGAATAAAAAATCATCCGATGACAGAGATAAATTTTGCTTTTGAAACATATCTTTTTAACATATCTATAGGACAAGCAGATGATGTTCCCTTAGAAATTACAATTTCTGAACCGTCACCCATAAATATCAGTTTTACTTTGAGTAACCTTAACTATTAAGTGATCAGGATTGAACACAATATCCTTGCAACGCAAGTTACACACCTCACCTATTCTCATGAAACCAGAATATGCTAATAATATCATAGATAAGTCTCTAAGATCAATCACATCACATGAGTCTTCATATTTGGAACATAATGTCTGTAACATATCTGAAGATATAACGTCTTTTTTCTCTACAGGTTTTGAATGAATACGATTTGCCGTGTTTAATAGTAACTTCACAGTATTATTTCGATTGGATCGTCCATATCGTTCATATTGTGAGCCCATTTGATACCGTAGTTTGCGCTAGAAATGACATGGTTAGATTTTCCTTCATCCAATAAATGTGTAAAGTACATGGCGACCGTAATTGAAAGAGCTGGCAATGCAGATACATGCTTTTGTTCACAAAAGTTTTTGAAATGCGCAAAACTTGATTTGTATTTGTCACTGTATTGTCAGATTTTGATTGGACCAAATACTCAGCCATATGATCTGCTATTACGTCATCCTGTATAACATTCATCTTTCGTTTCAGATTGTCTTTTAGGTTAATACCTGTTAACGATAAAGTATTGTTAAAACAATGTCATACAAATATAATAAACTGAACATGAAATTAAGGTATACACTTCAAAGCCAACATATCAAAAGCCAATGGATTTTTTTAAAAACAACCGTTTTTGCCTTTTCCTGGCCAAATAACATCTTTTCTACCAAGATTGATTATGCCTTTAATAAACTTTCTATGTTTTCCCGAGTAATCAAATAAACAAGGCCAAAAAGGTGCACTTTTCCCAAAAAGGAACGACTAGTGTGCAGTTCGCACCCTCACACATAATTTTGTGTATACATTTTACAACCAGCCTAGGGGGCGGAACTAGCCAGTTTACGTGATGTTGCCAAGATTCTGACAAAGCGTCAACACCATCGGTACCCGGCACCCACCAACGTGAATTAAACTTAATGCATTTATTATTTAAATGTGATGCAAATCTATCTATAAAATATGGTCCCCATATATGATTTAAATATTGAAAGACATACGAGGAAACACTCCAATCATCACAGTCATAACATCTGCTTAGAAAATCTGCTCTTTCATTATCTTCCCTCGGAATCCATTCAGGGCAAATTACTATATTTTCTTTTTCACACAATGTGTTTAATTCTACAACACTGCTATGTATATTTTGCGTTTTACTACCATTTACTAAAACGGACTTTACATTTTTGTTGTCTGAGAAAACCTTAACATAAGCGTTTTTCAAAATATTTGAATGCGAATGAATAACTCTGTTAACTGCTTCTGTTTCACGCCAAGTCGAACTTAATGACTGTTCATATTCAGACCATTGGCCTACAACCTCTGAACACGAGTCCACTTCCGGGGACCGATTAGCATTTTTACCAGATATGCCCTCATTTTGGGACATTATCGGACTTGTTTTGTCTACAGCCTGAAATTTTCTCATACTTATCTTGTTTGCTTTATCCACTTCCGGGGTACATTTTGCAACACACTTACTTGCCTGGTCCACTTCCGGGGACCATCTGATAACTAAATTACTAGCAGTGTCCACTTCCGGGGACCATTTTTTCGTAATGCTATTTTCTATGTCCATTTCCTGGGACCATTTTGTAACTATGTTATTTGCTGTGTCCACCTCCGGGGACCGACTTATAACTATGCTACT